CGGTCGGTCGAAGTTGAAATTTTCTACACTTGTCCTAAAACTCCTGTTCTGTCGTCTTACACTCCCTCTCGGAGGAACCAGAGAGGCGTCCTCAACTTAAGAGGGAGCGAGAAGCAAGCAGGGGTACGGGGCAACCTTGGAGGTAGCTGAGCTGCTAGGTGACGAAATGGGGATGATAGACCTCCCAGCTAGCTCGGTGGGCATCGCAACCAAGGGGGATGTCGCGGGCCAGTACGAATGACCCCCAATGTTGACGAAGATCAGCATCTTCGGTCTCAGCCCACGCTACCGTCGGAAGCCTGATCGAGGCGGGGTGTTTGAAGACCTCGTCGGCCCGGTGAGGAGGCGCCGGTAAAGAGGCTAGTTGAGGGCCGAGCGCGGCAGTGCGCTGGAAAACGGGAACCTCAGGCTGAAGGGTGGAGAAGTAAACCTACAACCAGAGTTGGAATACCCAGAAGGGTCCATTCTGGTGCGGGTAAATTTTGTTGATGGTCATCTCAGCCAAACAGCGGAAGAAATTGGCAAGGATGGCCAGACTGAGCGCCAATGAGTGACCACTAGCTAGGGCCTGAGCCACCGGCATATTCTCGACCAAGCATTTGTTCGACCTGGTACAACAAATGAATTTGTTGTACCAGTAGAATAGGAAGGCTTCATGTTCTCCCTTCCTAAGGCTCTCCTCGCCTCGGCCGGCGAAGTGGAGGATAAGGGTGTTGTAGTTGAAGAAGTTCTTATGTAGCTTCTGAACTTCTTCTTTCGAAGGCTCCCTATCACCTCGGCTGAGTGTCTCAACGGCCCGTTAGTCGAACAGCGCTTTTAGGTCGAGAGGCGAGAGGTATCCGGAAAAGGCGACATCAATTGGGAAACCAGACGAGGAAGTCCCAAGGATAACCGAGATGTCAAGGACGGTGGGGCCGAGAGGGCCAAAAGGGAGGAGCATGGTGTTGGTAGCCGAACACCATAAACTCAGGGCTTCCATGAGCAGTTCTCTATCCATGGTAATCTCCATGGTCGAAAGCATGATGGCATCATAAATGCCGAGAGCTTTCCACTATTTGCCTATGAATGCGCTCATTCGGTCGGCCCAGGTTGCAAGAGTCGAAGGCTAAGCTCTTTGGGGCCGTGCCAAGCACCATTTCGACCAATCGAACCCCTGCAGCAGGGGTGTTAAGCATTGTTCCTTGAGAAGGTTGGTGATGCACGACGGCACTGCATCTTTGAATAATGGACCCAGAATTTGGTGAGTGGTGGTTAGATCATTTTTGAAGCGTAGTGTTTTGATGGCGCTCTGGTCAATGAAGTCCTTGCATTTATTGCACTCGTCGGAAAGTTTGGAGATGAAGGAGGCCATTAGTAAGGAATAGAGTAGTGCGTAGGTTTAAAAAGGGGGAGGGGGTTTCAAAGAGATGAACTTGAGGGCGTTGTTTGAGCAAGCAGGAATGGCAAAGGGAAGATTTCAAAATTTCTGAAAGTGTGAGATACGAATGGTAGAAATTTGGGTATTTATAAGCGTTTCAGAAAGAAGATCAAACGTTTGGTATTCGAAAGCACTAGTTTGAATTGGGGGGAAATTTAACCGAGAAATGGCCCTAATCATTTCGGATATTTTGGGAACCTGCAAGGATCGGATCGGGGTTTTCGGTGGGTGCACGTTCTCGAGGGCCATGATTGAAAGTTGTTAGGATTGGCAGAGAGTCGACACGTGGCTGTACGACGGGAGTAACGAGGATAGTGCAATCATATCCCATAAATGTGCATAGTAATGGTTATCAAGAAAAGCGAAGTCTAAAAAGCAAAAGATGGTTCCGCTTCTTCAAGGTCAAAGGCCAACCAAAGGTTGACAGTCGGTGACCTCAGAAGCAAGGGGGCAATGTTTGGGCCCAAAATAATATTGTTGGGCCGAGCATAGGGTTGTGCTCGGCCCAAAGCTGTGTCAAATACTATAGGCTGCTTGATAGATTTCGGGCCAGTTAACAGGGTCGGTCAAGTCCTATCCTAAGAAGGATTAGTCCAAATAAATAAAAAGGGGTCAAGAAAGTCCTGGTGCAACCAGGATTCTTGGCCAGCGAGGAATAAAGCCTCGAAAGGGGGGAAAGTTCAAAGTCCTAATGGGAGTAGGGTTGTTCGAAGTAAAGTTGGAACGGGACAAGGACTCCCAATCCAGATAGGGGTTCGATTCGGTCTCAAGGAGTGGGTGCTATAAATACAAGAAATCATGCAACAAAAAGGACCTTCAATTCAACACACAACTGCCCTGCGCAAAACCTCTCAAACATCTTGAGATCTTTTATTTTCTGTTTCCGCCAACACACCTTCAGTTTGGATAAACAGCACTGTGAAGGAAACCGGTGAACATCTTCAGTTTGGATAAACAGCACTGTCACCGTAGAATCAGCCGATCAAAGAGCATCTTCAGTTTGGATAAATAGCACTGTCGCCGTAGAATCAGCCGACCAAGGAGCATCTTCAGTTTGGATAAACAGCACTGCATCGAGGCCGATTGGTTACCCATCCAAGTCTCGACCGAGGAGGGTTTTCGAATCCTTATTGGTAGAGGTCATCTTATCAGCCTTCTCGGCGAAGTAAGGTGTCACGAGTTATGACATTCGGCGTATCGGACGCCGAGTGATTTTATGATTGGGTATTCACAAGTGAGTTTTAGAGTTCGGCATTCTGACGGCCGAACCACGTTCACTGTCAAGACATACATCACCTTTGAATATTTGTGTCTGTATAGTCTGGTGTCGATTCGATGTGCTTATACTCTTACGAATATAATCACGGTGACCGAATCAGGCACTGACGATTTGTGAACTTCACAGAACTAGCAACCTCGTCTTCAGGCTCTAGAACCCAAAGACCGAGAATGTTCCTTCCTCGGTCGCAGTTGCAGTCGCAGAATAAAGAAGTCAGCAACGCGCTCAACGCAACATCAACAAATTTTACTCCTCGGTCGAGCTCGACCTGGCACGCCCCGCATTCAACCGAAGGACATAGTTAGCTTATTAGTTGCTTGGCCTACGCGCCGCGTAGGTTTTGTAATTTTTAGGGTCAACAGATAACCACTAGTGTAAATATTTTAAATTGATGACCGTTCATTGTATTCTTCTAGGTTCGAGGAGTGTAGTTGCAAAATCATCAAAATCAAAGCTAAAATAACCGTTAAATTGTGATAATACTTTTCTAACCGTCAGAGGATTTCGTCCCTGTTACCTAATCCCTGAAAGTTTGTTTTTGGTGATGCTTGGTGTATGTGATCTCGTACTAAATTCACACAAGTTTGAATGTTGGATCGTTGAAACTAGTTTCGCAGATTGCGAAAACCATCGAATTGAATATCCAAAAATGTCCTTCACTTTGCCCAACGAAATTATTCATTTTGCTCAACGCACTATAAATCATGTCCCCTAAACTCTAAGTCATAAAATAAACCTTTGCCAGATGATAGTTTTCCCATTCCGTCGGGCAAAGTCTTTATAGAATTTTTTTAACATGAAAATTAAATTAATAAACATTGCCCAACGACCAGTAAACATTACCCAATGATATATTTCATTGCACAAAGTCACTTACGTTGACGAACCGTTTTTTCATCGGGCAAAAGTTGTCAAAAAACGCTCCTTTTTTCCCCTTGGCACAAAAACTTTGCCCAACGAAAAGTTGTTTTCCCATCAAATATTTGTAGTTGCCTAAAGCTTCAGAAAAAACCCTAAACGTTGACCGATTTTGGCCGACCAAATTTATATTTCATAAGTTAAAATTTCATTGGGCAAATAGTATTTTTGAGAGTATATACCAATAATATGCTCCAAGAATAGATCTTTGAAATTTTCTAATTGCATCTGCAACAAAAGTTTGCCTACCTAAAGATATGACACAATACAACAATTATGAAGACCGAGGGCATGTTCCACAACTCTAATATCTTCAATTACCGTCTTGAGCCTCTAAAAGGTGAAATAAGTATGATTATCAACACTTAAGTAATAACTCAATCATCAACATCCACATCATTTGGTTTGCAAAATTTTGTTTAGAAATTTGGTCTCCCTACCATTATTCTTACCAAAAACAGCATCATTGATAAATTTGGAGTCCCCTTCCACAAAACAATGTGATGAAGGGTAATCCAAAATAAATTTAAGTAGTAAATAATTTGGACTTTCGTAATATTTACTCAAGTAAATGTAACAGTTTTAGACATCACAATTCCTAACCTTTTCATAGAACCATTCAGCTATATAGATATAGGGACTACTGCTACACAGCAAGGCCACAAAGATATAAGATAGACGAAATCACAGTTGTCTTGTTTAATGACCTTGACTGTTTTGACTTTGAGGTTTCAGAATTCCTTCCTTTGTATTCAGGGCACATAAAACTTACTTTGTCTCCTAGTTTGCTCCTTCACTTTACCACCTACAAACCCAGTGTATTACTTGCTGAGAAAAAACATACTTATATCGATTTGATGGTTAAGATTTAAAGATTTGATTATTATCCATATTTAGCTCCATCACTAGAACCCTAGACATGACCATCACGAACTTCAAGACCTAAAATACACATTTACGTATGAGTTAATACAAACACACATATGGCCTAGTCCTAGAGTCTTGGTTTCCCATTTGACACCCTTAATTAAGCCTATATTAAGGAAACCCTAAAAGACTTGGAGTTAAAATCAGTCGCTGAGAATTTGTGTGCGTGTGAGAGAGAGAGAGAGAGACCAGTGGTTAACAAGGGGTAATAAAAGTAAAAAAGCCAAATCAATTATAAAACATATCATCAGAGATTAAAATTAAACAGACAAGAAAGGGAAAAAGAAAAGGAAAAGCAGTTGGCTTGGCTTTGTCGCCAACCCATAAACGAGCCCTTCGCTTCTGTGGCGCATGAAAGTTGTTTAGCTTCCAAACCCTAAATAGAAATGCCCTTCAATTGCTCTTCTGATGATCTCTCTCTCTCTCTCTCTCTCTCTCTCTCTCTCTCTCTCCACTTTTATATATCTATATACCTCCTCCTCTCTCCCTCTCTCTCTTCACCATTTCACAAAGCAAGGAGAAAATAGAGAGAACAAGAATACTGAGAGATATGGGGAGGGGTAAGATTGAGATCAAGAGGATTGAGAACTCAAGTAACAGGCAGGTGACCTACTCCAAGAGGAGGAATGGGATTATCAAGAAGGCAAAGGAGATCACTGTTTTATGTGATGCTAAAGTATCTCTTATCATTTATTCTAGCTCTGGGAAGATGGTTGAATACTGCAGCCCTTCAACTACGTAATGACCTAGTTCGTGTTTTTTTTATGATCTTTTCAAAGAAATTCTTTTGGTTTTTTGAGTTCTTTTATTCTTATTTACTGGGTCTGTTTCAAATTAAAAAACAAATAAGGGTACTTTTTGTTCATATATATTTTATGAATTTAATTTATTTTTGGTGTGATGAAGGCTGACAGAAATCTTGGATAAATACCATGGCCAATCTGGGAAGAAGTTGTGGGATGCTAAGCATGAGGTTTAAGAAATTCTCCTCTATATTTTCATATATTTTTTATTTTATTTATCATGGAAGATCTGCTGGTTTCTTGCTTGTCTAACATGATTTTTTTTTTCTTTTGTTTTTGCCAAAAATATGTTAAGAAACATGAAGTGTGATTTGTAAGAACAGATCTACAAATAGGATGTACTGGTAGTTCTCTTTCTTGCTCTCCGATGGTTTTTCTATCCTTCTTTATTGAAAAAAAAAAAAAAAAAAATGAAACTATGTGAATGTTAACAGATCTGGTAATAAAATGTTATTCTCTCACTTCCTTTTCTTTGCAAGAAATTAAAACAAATGAGTCCTCCGTTGTGAATGTTAGTTTAAAGCACGCAAATAAAACAAACGTCTTTTCTTGATATATAAAAATCTCACTATGTACCATTCGGTCCCTTGATTGATACAAGGCATAGAAACATGGGTTTACGCACTTTTCTGCTAACAGATCTGCATATGAATTAGACCCTTTTAAGTAGGTTTGTAAATTCCCTTTAATAGTAAATTTGGATATTATAATTACAGGAAAATGATTTTTGAATGCCCAGTTCCCTTTCTTCACATCCATGTTTAAAACTATTACTTGATTCTCCTTCGCTTTATTAGATTTAAAGTACAAAATAAACGGGGTGTGTGTATGAGAAAAAATGGGTGTGCAGAAATCATTTCCTTAATTATAAGTTTTCTTAATATATAATAAATTTGCTTAATTAACTTTGAGGGTTTGGAACAAATATGATAAACTTCTGGCAGAACCTCAGCAATGAAGTGGATAGAGTCAAGAAAGACAATGACAGCATGCAAGTAGAGCTCAGGTAGTTTAATTTCAATTATCATCATCTCTCTCTTATGGTAGAACAAATTAATTTATACCTTATATTATATATACTGAGCATATTTAAATGCATGTGTGTGTGTGTGTTGCTGCAGGCATCTGAAGGGAGAGGATATCACATCATTGAACCATGTAGAGCTGATGGCCTTAGAGGAAGCACTTGAAAATGGCCTTACAAGTATCCGGGACAAGCAGGCAAGTTTCTTCCCTTATTCATACTTCAAACAGAGTGTGTACATTAAACTTATTATATATGTTTATAGTTATATGTTGTTATATACTTAATTGTAGGGTAATTTGTTGTGTGATATCTTGCTGTATTTTTCAATTAATTACTAAATAGTTTTGTTCCCTTTTTGTCACAGTCCAAGTTCGTCGACATGATGAGAGACAATGTACGATGAGTCTGATTAATACCTTGAGTTTATTCGAATTTTAAAACAAATCTGCCTGAATTAATGATATCATATTTTGCCTAATTAGTTTTTCTTTGCTGAATGATCAGGGAAAGGCACTGGAAGATGAGAATAAGCGCCTCACTTATGAGCTGGTAAATAAGTAAACGCATCTTTTCAAACTGATAAGTGAAGGCATACATGCATACGCATACACAACATGCATATATATGTTGAGTTTGTGTTCACAATCGTACTTTGAGAAGCTATACTGGTGTAACAAGTGGGTTTTATATTAATCAATATAAAACTATTTCTATCATTTTATAAACAGTCTCGGTGTGCTTAATTAATTAATGTAAGGGAACTGATTTTCAACTTTTTTTTTTTTTTTTTTTCTCTCACTCTTTTTTTTTTATTATTATTATTAGATTGAATAAATTAGACAGAATAACAAGTAAAAATTTAGTAGAGATGTGTGAGAGGCTAAAAATGATGTATTTATTATTTCTTTTATTTTTAAACTATTGGAATCGCAAATGTATGTAGACTGCATCTCACTAATAAAGTTGAAACTCACCTATGAAAGTAGGATACGGTCCATCTTTATTATTGTATAATGCGATCTATTTGACAATATTACTCTTTAATCTAGCAATAGAATTCAATTCAAGTCAAAAACACTTTAGAAGGCTAGGTTTATCATCAAGATATATATGAACTGAATTGATCGAATGTTAACCTGAATCAATTTGGTGACTACAGATTTTCAAGGTCATCAATGACTATGTGATATTGAAACATGTATATATACTATAACCCAGTTTTGTGTCATTTGATTATATATACATTTTTTATTTTTATATTGAGAAAAGAAAAGAAAACAGAAAAAAAGAAGTAAAATACTTGCAACAAGTTTCATATGCATACTAAAAAATTTTGCTGGATAGGAGAAGCTGATGTTGTGGGCATGATTTGCAGCAAAAACAACAGGAGATGAAAATAGGTGAGAATGTGAGAAACATGGAAAATGGGTATCATCAGAGGCAGCTGGGGAACTACAACAACACCCAGCAGCAGATACCTTTCGCCTTCCGCGTGCAGCCTATTCAGCCAAATCTCCAGGAGAGAATCTAATTAGATATATCTTGCATTTGCATGCTCTTTCTAACTAGTTATATTATCTCTCCTACTCTATCTCTCTTTTCATCTGTCAAGGAGTTCTTAAGTTTATGTCAGATTTCCAATGGTTTGTAATAGAATTAGCTTCGTAATGAGGCTTAGTTGTGAACCTTGTAATAATTAAGGCGTTCATGAACTTGGTTTGTGGGAAAATCACTATTATGCGTGCTATAGTGCAACCTGTACTTGTGTGTGTTTACCTAACTTTATGTGCTTGGCTATGCATATCTCTCTCTTCCAAACCCTAGATAAGAATCTTTCTTTGTGTTTATGTTTTGGCAAAGCACATTCTACACCTTGCTTGCTGCGTTTATAGTTTGAAAATGCCTCTCTAAAAAGCATTTTGTTTGTTAGACCCGTGATTTTGTTGGAAGTGTTTTTGTAAGAAAGCATCTCAAAATTTTCATTAGGAAATTAAGTGCTTTGTGGAAAAGCATTTGGAAGTTTTTCGTACTTCTCATGAAAAGCATTGTCAAGTGCTTTTTAGGGCTCGTTTGAAAGTGCTTTTAAAATGATTGAAAGTGTTTTTGGTGAAATTATTTTTGAGTTCTAAAAGCACTTCGAGTGCTCCATGCAAGAAACACCATTTATGTGTCTTTTGCAAGATTAACTTTAAATGCTTTTTCAAGATTCACTTACATTTTTACTAAGAATTAGTTTCAAAAACACTTTCATAAAAAATGCTTTCAATAATTTTATAAGCACTTCTAAATGAGCCATAATCTTTTTGAACTAAAACTTTTTAGAATTTTCTTTTATTATTTGAAAGCGCTTTTAGCCATCCTAATTTCTAAACACTTTCAAACATGACTTGTATGATCGGCTCTAAAAAGGGTAATATTTTGAACCTTTTTTATCTCCTTCTATTTCCTTCAGTTCACTTTTATATGCCTTCAAATGTGTATTCAATTGAGATTTTTATGATTTTAATGGATTTTGATAGAGTTTATTTAATTGATTTCTAGAGATTCTATATAAAATTTTGAGTGAAATCCTTTGAATTTTCAGGAAAGAGGTGAGATTTTATAATGTTTAAAATACACTGCAAAATATCTCCAATTCCCTCGAATTCCCCAACTTTTTATAATCCTTTAAAATTAATTTTTAATTTAATACACCTGGAATATTATAAACTCTCCTTTAAAATCCTGATTGAATACACCTAGATTTTCAGATAATCACTTAAAATCCTAATTGAATACCCCTGAATTTGTAAAAAAAAAGTAAAATCTCTCAAAATCTCAATTGAATACCCTGCTATAATCCAATTTCGAATAGAAGATGCATTGTGTAAACTACATTTTCAAGCTAGAATTTTCTTTTATCAAATTTATTAGATGCTTGACTAAAAACACAAATTCAACTAGATGTGCTTATGTGACTACTAAAAACCAAAGTCAACACTTACTGTATAAGTTTATACTTTACACATTTCAAACGAAGCCTTAATCGTGAGAAGGACTTACATGTAATAGGTTTACCATCACTTAATGTTTGGGGGAAATTTTATTTAAACCCATTTAACTTCTTTATACACCCAACTTAAATTTTAAATGTTAATTTTCTATTTTACCCTATTATATAATTACTATTAAATACAAAATAAAATTAATAATAAAACTCATATTTATCAATAAACCCAAACATTTATTGTGTAGATGACTTATTAACAAAAAAATGCAGATGGCAGCACTTTCTCTTAAGAAAAACAACTAATAATTTACAAGATTGGGGAAATATCAATAAACATGATTAATGTTTCTTCGATTACATGCAACCAATTGATCGCACATGCGTGTGTGTGTGTGTGTAGTTCCATTTGATATATGTTAATGGCGGGGATCGGGGATCAGTGATCTGGATTATGCTTTGGAGTTTGGAAGGGTACGATTGAACAGACAAGAAATGTAATTGTTTCTGGTGAGGGAAGTTGCAGCCAGAAACAAGATGGAAAACAAACACGAAACGTTATAAGGGGGTTGGAACTTTCAGTTCAAATCTAACTTCTTGTCCCACAATCCCTTTTTCTAGTTCCCCTTTCCGGACTTTTGGTGTGGATTACACCCCCAGATACACTCAGATTTCTATGTTGAAATCCTCCCACAATTTACAACAACATTTTAATTTCATCTCGGAGCCAAAGTTGCTGAGGGTGTCGATGAGCTCAAAAGCCGTCCTAGTCCCCCTGTAGAAAAATACCAAAAAAAGCTCACTCATCTCCTTCCTCTTTCTCATAACCCCATTTGTGTTCTTGTTAAGTCTCTCTCTTTCTATCTGTCCGTTCTGGGTGGCGTGTCAAGGCAGAGACCCTAAGAATAATGAATGCTTCAGACTATCACTCGCTCAACAACAAATAAAAAAAATAAAAAAATAAAAAAGAAAGAAAGAAAGAAAGAAAGTGTTTCAATTAATATTAGAAGCCATGTTGAAATCGATTGATCGAAGGAGGAGTCCCTGCATAGCTCCTACTCCAATTCAATGCTTCTTCTTGATTCACGTGCAGCGATCCATCTCTACCACCACTGCCGCCGCCACCACCACTACCACTACCACCACCTTCTCTCTTGTCCTTTCCATCTTTTGCGCTGTTTTTCTTTTTTTCTATAACTGCCTGCAATGGCTGAATTCACACCCCAATTTTCAGTATAGAAGTGTATACAAGTGTCAGTCTTGTTGTAAGCCATGGTTGAATTCACACCCCAATTTTCAGTGTCCGTTTCCAGACGGTGTAAAGATAGTTAAAAATCAAATGGGTATAAAGAAAAATATACATATTTAATTGGGTTTATAGGGGTATAATAGGTAATAAATTTGGGTTTAAAGTGATATTAATAGTTTAGTTAAAAATCAAATGGGTGCAAAGAGTAAGTTCGCGTAGAAATAGGTTACATGGGTTTAAATAAAATTTCCCTTAATGTTTTTTTGTCCAATAATGCATTAACATGTGCAAGTTTTTCTCCCCACATACCAATATATTATTACATCAGGACACCAATAATAATGAACTCGTTCCATAAAAATTACTTTCCCTTCATAACAAAACTGAAGAAAGATCATAATATTGTGAAAGATTACAAAGATATCAGAAGACCACAAAAGATTGCAGTGGAAGAAAGCTAGAGAGAAGAAGATGACCGAGAAAGAAGAGAAAGAGAATGAGCTTCAACATATTTTCATTACGTTTCCAAAACAATAAAATCGAGTATATAAGGAAAAAGTATAAGTGCCTAGCTTAAGCGGCAACTCTATCTAATCCATCTCATTACACAATGGTTATCTTATCTAATTACATCTCATTGTACTAATGACACATGGACCACTAATGACACTATATTCTATTATTACTCCCTCTCAATCTCAGCTAGGGAAACCAAGTCTAAGATTGCCACAATGCTTGATGAAAATTGGATTGTGCAATCCTTTAGTAAGAATATCAGCCACTTGAGAAACTGTAGAAACATAGTGCATTGTAATATCCTTCTTTTGAACCCGCTCTCTAACAAAATGATAGTCAGTGTCCAATTGTTTTATTCGAGAATGGAACACTAAACTCAAAGCCAATGTAGAAAGATTGTCACAATGCTAAGAAGGAGGAGAATGAAGAAACTCATTCAGATCCTATAGAATAAACCTAATCCAATAAACATCAACTGCACATCGTGCTAATGACTTCTACTCTGCTTCAGTTGAACTTTTAGACATAGAATATGCTTCTTTAACTGTTAAGACACAGGGTTATCACCAACAAACACAACATATCCAGTTATAGACCTTCGAGTATTGATATCTGGTACCCAATTAGCATTAGAAAATGCTGAAATATATTCAGATGATGGAGTGTATTTATGTCCACAATCCAAAGTACCTTGGGCATATCTCAAGATCATTTTAACAAGAAATAAATGAGCATCAGCAGGCCTAGTCATATATTGACACACAACATTAAAAGAATGAGCATTGTCATGTCTTGTGAAAATCAAATACTGCAATGCTCCTACCAAACTTCTGTATAAAGTTGGATCAGTCATGAGATTGCCTTCTGAAACCAAGAATTCAGTGTGAGGTTCAGAATGAGTAGGAGCTGTTATGAGTAGTCATTCCTGCCTTAATCATAAGATCCCTTGCATATTGTGACTAATTGATAAACAGACTTCCATCTTCCTTATATTGAATTTGTAAACCTAGAAAATATGTCAACTTGGCCATATCCTTCAAATCAAACAATTCATCAAGCTGTAATAATCATCTGAACTTTAAAGGTGTTAAAACCAGTTAAGATAATATCATCAACATACAAGAGTAAGATGATAATATATAGGCTATATTGAGAGATAGTGAAACCAAAAGAAGGTAAAATCCCTTTGAATTTGGAATTCCAAGCTATAGGAGCTTGTTTAAGTCCATATAAGAACTTTATCAACTTACATACAAAATTTGGACATTTGGAGTCTATGAAACATTGGTTTTGTTTCATATACATCCTTTACCTAATTTCTATATTTTCATCTATGTTTTATTATGCATTTTTATGTGGTGAATTGTGTATTAGTGTTAAAGGGAGGAGGTCTAAACTAAAATTTAGGATTAGACGTTAGGAGTTGTTTGAAATAATAAGAACTTGGAAACATAAGATGTTAAGGTTATTGCTTAAATTTATGAATGGACATGTCTAGATTTGGTAAATTATTCTTCATTTGATAAAAGGTTGCCTAGAAAGTGTGTGCTTCATACTCTTAACCATGAAGGGAAATATTGAGATTTATATGGGATTTCTAGTGACTAGCATGCATATACAATTCTAAATTTATATACATAAGCAGTGGAAGCATATGAACACCTATTATCAAAGCTATAGTCATGCAAATCCCCTACAAGAAGCATAGGTTCATAATTTTATGCATCAAACAAAATATTGAAGAACAAGAAGGTTGAGTTTTATACCTCTTGATCTAGACTTTAGACCAAGGTTGGACCGCCTCCAAGCTCTTTGTTCTTTGAATTCCTTGAGTCTAGCCTCCCTCCTTACTTCCTCCACCTTAAGGATTTAGAGCTCCTTGGTTCTCCTTAAGCCTCCAAGTGTAAAAGGCCTCTAAAGATCCACACCCATTAATGTAGTGAGATGGATAAGTGGATGACCAAAAGGGGATTACATGACTAGTCAGAATCTCACTTTGGTGGCCGGCCTTGTGTGATAAAAGAAAGAG